GTCCCGTTCGTACTGACAAACTGGATAAATTATTTATGTCTGAAAGTACTGTCATGCAAGTTAGAAATAAAAGCAAGCAGAGCGGAAGTCTGAAAATGAGTGGTTTTAATAGTTATACAAAACGTGATAACAAATGTCCCTGGAACAGCTCGATGTGCCATCTCCACGACCACAACCACCACAGCTGGACTCACGCCTGCCCGCCGACCCTGCCATCTGAAAATATAAAGTGGGGGTGACTACGGTCCACTTGTACTCCATAAAAACCCATTCTAAAGTAAACAACAATAATAATAATGATATCACAGTATTGGTATGCGTAAGTAAACTGAAATCTCCCGGACACTCCGGTAACTCCCGGACACTCTGGCCGGTAACTGTAATCTTCCGGACACTCTGGTCGGTATCGTGTGCACACTCTGATGGTATATTTAAGGCGAACTGGGCCACCACCAGAACTTAGGGAAGGACAACTCGGCCTTAACCCCAAGCGGATAAAACTCATACACATACCTGAACATGTCGACTATTATACTCAATGTATAACCCAGACTGGGTCCCCACCTGATCTGCTTTGAAAATAGGTAAGTGCGGCTGTGCTGGTAGCTGACTCCTCAAGCTACATAAAAATATAAGCAAACAAATATACTAAGCACTATGCTCGTCATATGCTCAATAATATGCTAGGATGCTCCACTCTATCAGATTACTCATCCGGATAAAAAGAAACGCTCTATGGGTTCACTAAAATAATTCTAAGTCCAGAAGTTTGACTGATACGCTTAACTGATCTGGTTTGGCTCGGAAAATTACTTAAGTTTCGGAATAAGACTCGGACCAAAAATCACGAACCAAAACTGACTCGAACAGCCGACTAAACCGGCCGGTTCGCTCACTAACTGAACTGGGTCAGGCTGAACCGGACCGGGTCGGACCGCCAGTTCACTCTGGACTGGGTGGTCACGGGCTGCATGGACTGGTCAGGCTCGGTCCCGTGCTGGGTCGGCTGGGGCCCTGGCACGGTACTAGGCACGAGCTGGGTGCGACCGGCCAAGGTGCTAGGCGCTGCTGGGCGCGGGCGGTGCGGCTGGCACGGGCCATGGCACGACTGGTGCCACTAGGTGCTACTAGGCACGGCTAAGGGTGGCTGGGTGCTTTGGTGCGCTGCTGGCGCGAGCACGGGCACGACTGGTGCCACTCGGGTGCTACTGGGCACAACCGAGGGTCACTGGGAGTGTTGGCGCACTGCTGGGCACAACCGAACACGAGGGACGCGGGGCTGACGCGTACCCGGGCTGATTGGGCACTGGGCGTGCGGCTGGCACGACCCAAGTGCGGCTGGCGCGAGGATTGACGCGGCTAGACATTACTCGCGTGGCTCAGGCGCGGCTAAGGCTGTTAGGGCACTGCCGGGCGATCCTGGGCACGCGGGTGTGCTGCTGGGCACATCCCAGGGCCAACTGAATGCTCGGGCGTGCTGCTAGGCACGTCCCGAGGCCTCTGAACACGGCTCGGGTTCAGTAAGGCGCGACACTGAACACTCAGGTGCGCTGCTGGCACGACCCGAGGTCGAGACGCGACACGGGAACGGCACGCGCGACTGGCGCGGCTGGTGACCCTAGCCGGTCCTTGTCGGACTTCCGGCCACTTTTTCCGGTGACTACTGAACCAACCCAACATAATATGACATAATACACTTAAAAATGTCAAAAGTCACTGAGAGACCTCGGGTGGATAATGAGGTGGGCTTATAGGGCCTACACGGCTCGTGGCCACACTAGGTCACCGAAATGAACTTGCTAAACATATAAATTCACTTAGGGCCGAGTAATCTATATCAAAAATCATTGCTATTGAGGCTAGGACATTGGTCATAACATGCATGCATATAGACTTAGGTTCGGAGGTAAAAATGGCTCGATTTCACTTAGCAACTTGACCGAACATATGAACTCAAAACATGCCAATCTTTTACCAATGTCATTCTCATGATTTTTGAGGGATAATAAGCTATGAAAATTCGGCCTAAGCATGCATGCACAAGAATTTCCGAATTTAAGGCTTATAAGTTTGAAAAATCATAACTTCATATATCTCACGTGCATGGCATCATATTCTTACATGAAAATTCTTAAAATATCTTGATGAGACTGGGAAAAATGGGGTTCACGAGATTACCTTGCTCAAAGTCGCGAATGGTGCTAATGACCCTTGCCGTGCTAACTTGCGGCCTTGGTGACTTTGGCTCGGCTTCGGGGGATAAATGGATGGGAATGAGGGACTCTATGAACTTATAAAAATCCAAGGAACTCTTGGAAGATGATAAGTTACAAGAGTACACGGCTTTGAGCAAGTGAAACTCGCGGCTCCCCCCTCCACCTCGCTCTCGCGCGCGCGTGGCTAGCCTTGGGCTTACTCTCGGTTTTCTCCAACTTCCCTAAAAAATTCTCAAGATTTCTAAGTGTCAAAATTCTTAACACTCAGCTGAGGATGTCCCATATAAGGGTCTTGGTGGGCGGAGTAAACAAGAGGCAAAATGGGGGACAAAACTCCACACATGCGCATGGGGGGAGGTGAGAACTTGAGTGGGCATGGTCTTGGTCTTCATGACCCAACTTAGCACGGTTTTTGGGGGAATAATTCAACGCATCTAGGCTTATAATATGATCTGGTCAGACTTGGAGCTTGCATGGGAGATAAGGACTTCACATGTGATTAAAATAATACCATGACCGTTATGCACTAGCAATAAAATAATCCCCATGCTCATTGCCTTTGGTTAATCTTTTGTTAAGGTAACTTAAGCTCAATTAAACCCTCATTATGTCCTGATTACTCACCACTTTTGGGTCATGAGGAAAGTGGGCCGAAATTTATGGAATTGGGCTCAAGAATTGGGTTGTGCAAGGCTGGCGCGTGCCTGCTGGGGGCGGCACTTGGGCCTGGGCGCGCGGCTGCGTGCTGGGCTCGGGCTGCGCGTCTCCTTGGCTTGGGCCGAGCATAAGGGCTTAAGTGAGACTTGGTTAAGCTTCTCAATACGTAGAAAAATTTAGGAATTAGCATGCTAGGCCTTGGACAAAGCCTTGGGCTCGGTAGGCGCACCCATGGGCGCGGCTAAGGGCGCAGGTGTGGGACTTGGCACGCACGGCTCGGGTGAGTGCTATGGCGTGATTTTTAAAATGTCCAAGACTTACTTTGATAATCTTACACACTTAGAAAAATATTCTAAGTGTCAAAATACCAAGTCTCGGTGAACATGATCTCATACTTAGAAGATATTCTAAGTAAGGATATGAGCACGACTAGGGCTCGAACAAGACTCGGCACGGCTAGGGCACGAGACTTGACTTGGCGCGATACTCGTGACCGAACGACTCGGTTCTGGACACGACTTGACTTGGACGATTTATCGAAACATACTCGGTTTCGATTATTCGTCAACTGGAATAATTAATTCCGACTGAATAAAATTCATTTCTAAAAAAATAAATGGACCGGAATTAATCACTGAGATTGAATAGCAGATAACTGGGATCAGAACTCAAGACGAGCAGTATTAATAAAAAGAAATAGTTCAAACTTGGAACTAAAAACTGATATTAATACAGAACTGGGCTATTACAGCCAAAGCGGAACAAGTTCTACCAGACAGAGGGTTTCGACCTGGTAATGAGGTTTCAACCTCATTATGGGGCAAAAGAGCATCTATATGAAAAACCCCGCCGTGAGAGGATTGGACCACGCGTCGGGAGAAGATTGTGTCGTCTGCATTTCTGACACCTAACAACCTGAGACACCGTAGGTACAGTAGATCGTACGGACGGGCAGCAAGAGCAGCCGGGTTAACGCTCTGGTCAAGCTTAGGTAACAAGACATTGCTTCCCTATATAAGGGAAAGTAATGGGTCAATTTTAGGGTTATATTATCTGCACTCTCATACTTAATATACTATCCATCGTCTCAGATTATTACTGACATAAGCATCAGAGGCTTTTCATCGGAAAACCACCCTTCCAATGTCGAGTTCTTGTAGGTACGAAGCCGTTCGAGGTCGAGATAGAAGCTGAGGAGGTCGAATGAGCTATTTCATCGTTATAATAGTCCGAACCAGAACTAGGTGAAGTCTATTTCACTTTTATTGGCGTCATCTGTGGGAATCTGTTCAAAAAGCCAGATTTGCAATCATGGTGAATGACGTTTGTAGCGCCCCATTCATTTTATATGAGTTATCGTATTTTTATTTTACATTTCTTTATTTAACTCGACTAAGTTTTAGTTCAATTCTTTAATCAAAATGAGAATTAAGTCGATATCTTCGTCTATTTAATTTTTCTAATTAATTCACCTAATCAAAAATCGAGATTTAAGAGGATGTCCTCGTCTTCTTAATTCTTCGTTTGTGCTTTCATTTTTTTTTTCTTTCTCCTAAGTGTGTTATTTGTTCATTCTATTTTTCTAAGTGCCTGAATTTTAAGTATGTGCGTAATATGTTAATTTGAAGTGTTGCCTTAGTCCTTTTGTACCATATGTGTTCGATTTAAATTTTTGTGTTAAGTGTTTATTTTATTTTCCTTAGTGTATTATGTGTTCATTTTATGTGTACCCAATTATGGCTAAAATACATATATAACCGCTCTATAAGATTCATTTCCATAAAATAACCTCATATCTAGGAATTCTGAAACGCCTAAACACATTCCGGAATGAACTAAAAAAGACGGTTACATAAAATAATTAATAAAATAAAAACAAAATTTAAAGAGAAGTTGCAAAAGACACGGTTATTAAAAACTTGAAAAGACAGTTTACAAATGAGAAAGATAACTGAACTTGAAGAAATTAAAAAATCGATGATATAGATTTGAAAACACAAAAGAGAAAACATCGCCAGACAACAAAAAGGATACTCAGATTATGTAAGTCTATAAATATAATTGTAATTGTATATATTATTTATTGATTAAGCGCTACTATTAAATTTTTATTTTTTTTCCAGAGAGATGAGCAATGAACTGCTTCTAGTTTATTACAATGGAAATTGGACCACTGAGATAAAGTATGAGGGATACGAGGTTTGTGGCTTTCATCACAAAGAAACAGAGACCTTTGATGAATTAGTTGAAGGTATAAAAAAGATGGTGAATATTAATTCATCACGAACAAGTTTGGAGATAAGGTATAAGATCATAGAAGGTTACTGTTAGGTTCTATTAGGAGCGTCAACGACATGCACAGTATTGAACTTATCAAAATAAATTCTAATGCAGCGGAATCTATAGTTAGGATTAGGACATTACCTTTTAAATTTTTTTCCGACTCAGAGACGTTTCTGATTTTCGATGATGGAGATCGTCTAATTACCACAACCTAATAGGCATATGGGTTTGGCCTTTCTCGATTCTTATCAAGTGTTGAATCGCGAATGGTTCACCAGATCGAACTTGTCAGGTTCGGGCCGGTTGGGCAAGGCTCGGTTCATGTCTCGGTTCTGGTCGGGTGTAGCGGCTCGGTCGTAGATGTCGGTCGCGGACAGGTGCTGATCAGGACCGGGTGATGCGCGTAACGAACGTGACGCACGAATAGGCAGTGCAGACGAGCTGATGCGGGCGCGTGCGGGACAGGATGTTGGGAACGGGAACGTCGGGTCGCGCAGGTCACGAGCAGAGGCGTGCAGGGACAACGTGCTGGTGATGTGCGGAGGAGCTGGGCGTCGCGATCGTCGCTGGGACCTTCGAGTGTTGCTCGTCTGCGTGCGGTAGCGGGGCTGTGCTCGCGGCAGCGTGTGGCTGGGCTCAGTTAGGGTTCTGGCGATGACAGGCGGCGGCGACGATTTCTGGCGACTTCTGACGGCGGCGGACGGCGGTGGTCGGAAGCGAGTAGTGGCCGGAATATTTAGATCTTCAAGGTTTGATATATATATCACCTTTAGATCTTCTAATTGATTACCTAAACACCTACTTCAATTAATCTTGATGGTGCGATTAATTGAATCTCCCAAACTCTCGAACAAGACAATCTTTCTCTATTAAGAAGAAGGAAAAATCGGCCAACATGTATGTTCCAAGAACATGGTGTATTATAGGCTCCATTTGGATGTAGCGCCCCATTTGTTCTGGAATAATTGGATATTATTATTTTGACATTTATTTTATTTTCGAATTAATTATTCGGGCTCGTTAATTTTATTTCGAATACGTGCTCGTAATTGCTAAATTTTATTAATTTTTATGTCGAGCCGAATAGTATTATTTATTTTATTTCTGGTTGAACCGAAAATTCTAAATAATCGAGACTTTGAACCGAGCGATTATGCGTGTGTATTTATCGAACTGGGCCATCCGAACCCGCCCATTTTCCTCTCCAACCGAACCGGCCCGCGTGAGAAAAACCGACCCCAAAACCGCCGGTAAACTCTTGTGCATGCATGAGAGAATCTTTTGTTTCATTTTTGAAATTTGAAGTTGATCCTAACCGACCCCCCTCATTTCATGCCTTGACCAATTTATTGAGAATTAATCCATGAGATTTTGTAACCCCCTCTCTTTATTTGCTCTTCACGCTCAATCCCCCTCATCTCCTCATTTCCATCTCTCTCGCCTCTCATTCGTCACCCTCTCTCTCTTTTTCTTTTTTTTTTTTCAATTTCTTGTCCTTGCCGGAAGTCTCCCAACCCCCATCACCGCTCGCGCTCCTCCACCCGCTTGCAGCATCCAGCCGCCACGAGCCCCTCGCTGGTAGCCTCAATGCGACAGCGACTCACGGCCACCGACAGCAACTCCCGACCACCGTTGCGTCCCTGTCCTGCGAGCTCGAGCCCTCTTCCGTCATCACCTCCGTCGAGCCAATTGCCGCTCGTCTTTTTGTTCCGTTTCCGAAGATATTTCCCGAGATCGGTAACGAGTCTCGATCTCTCGTTATTTTATTTACGTGTTATTTCATGATTTTATGTTCGGTGAATTTTATGTTCGGTGATCCTATATGTTCGATTCTAATAATTTGTCATTTAATAATTATCAAATATCGTTAGAGGTTTTGAAATCCTCTTTATGTTCATTGTTTGCAGCTGTAAATATGATATTCCGTGTTGTCGAGGCTTCTTATGAACCGAGCTTGAAATTCGAACATCCAAAATGAATATGTTTGTCATTTTATGTGAAGTCAAGTTTTCAGTGTTCTGTTGTGCGGCGTTTTTAACCATCTTAGACTGAGTATTTGAATTCGTGACCTTCATGAGAACTGTAGTGTTTTCGGTTTATTAAATATGGGCTTTGGAATTTCTCGATTCCGATCTATATCGAAAATGTTATGATTTTTACAAGATTTGTTGTACTTCCAGTTTTTCCGTACCCAGCAGCAAAGTTGGATTTAATGTTTGGTCTGTTTTTCATGTTAAAATGTGCTCGTATGAACTTACACTCTTCATAAAAGTTTTAGACCTGTCTTTTACCTTTCAAATGAGATAAATTTCTTATTGATACTTACTCTGGGGCTCGAGTTATGATTTTATGAAGTTAAATATGCATGAGTTAGAAATTATCATGTTGGCAGAAATTTGGAACCGTATGTTAACCAATTTTTTACCATTCAAATGAGCTCATATATTATTGTGTTCTAAATGGAAGTTGTAGATTCATTCCTAAGGTTTAATTTGAGATTTGAACCATATCATTTAGAGGTCTGGATCTCAAGATAAAGGTTAAAAACTGAGATATTGTCCATGTTCATTATACTAGTTTTGGCAGATTTACTGATCACATGTTTTGTGTTTTAACTCGTTGAATATGTGATTATTTGCCAATGTGATCTTCAGTAAACTTGTAGAAATTTGAGTTGCCTATTATGTGGTTTTTGAATTTCATTAATAGCATGCCTGTAACTCAAGTTTTTCCCAGTTTTGGACTGTGACTCAAATTTTAATGTTTGTTGATTTATCACCTATTAAATGACATTGTTTGCTTTCAGAGCCTTCATATGAATTTTAGATTCATCTTTTAGAATTCCAATGCAATTCTATTTGCATTCATACGAGTTGTGTGCTGAAAGTTATATCGATTTTAAAAACGCTGCCCGGGTTAACTTTTCAAAACTTATGTGTTATTTTCTGAAATATGTCGTACTTGGTTTAATGCATGATTGAATGCTTACGTGGACTTAGTTGAACTAAGTAACTTGTCGAATAGTTTTTGATGAGACTATTTTAATAAATGTAGGTGTTTGACGAGTCGACCTCGCCGACTACTATTATTGTGTGTTTGACTCGATCGCTACCAGGTGGGTTCATTAATGTTGAATCTACATTTATCGCACTTGTTATCTCGTATAAATGTTTGTCGCGATAGTTTTTGTATGCGTGAGAACCCTAGTCTAAGTATCCTGATGGTAGTGCCTTTGATGAATGCATAATCAATGGAAGTCACCTGCCCGTTGTATCCGGGAGGTGGGCGCCCGAATCCGTGTAGAGCGGAGGGGATTGTCTGAACGCCCGAATCCGTGTAGAGCAGAGGGGTAATTCAACTTCACTGTCTCCTGGTAAGATCCTACGCCCGTCGCATCCGGGGTGGGAGTGCTTCCAGTTACATCCTTGCCGATGTCAGGTCGGAAGGTTTGTTGTATGTACATAGGAGGTTTGCGATTGGGCCTAATAGGGAGTTAGATATGGATTCTATGCATACATTATTTATGGTTATGGATCTTTATGCGAAATATACTGTGTGGTAATGGTGAGTATGATGGTTGTACTCACCCCCATTTACTTTTCTGTCCTCTTGTTTCTCTTCCTATCTTTTTAGGTTGAGCATTGTTGGCGGCGGCAGCAAGAGACGATCGAGTGGTGGTCGTTGGATTGTGTGCTACTTGCTTCCGCTTTTCTTTTTATTTTCTCGATAGATCACCTGGTTATCTTTGAATAATTATGCTTCCGCTTTATCTATTTGAATATGTTGGTTGAACTAATGGATTTCGATTGAAGTTTTTAATTACGCATGACTGGGTTTGAGGATTATGTATGAATTTGAATTTAATTTGAACTGTTAGTTTTTATCTGTGTAAATGTTTATTTGTTTTTGTTGGTTAAGTAGCGCCCGTCGAATATTAAAGTTTTAAATTGGGATTTTTCGAAAAATAAACTCTGATTTTTATAAATAAATTCGGTAAATTCTTTAAAATAAAACGGGGCGTTACATAGGGACCTTAAGGATGTGCTAAATATGGGCTTATATCATCGGCAAAGGAATCCTAATTCTACTCCATATGTATTCCAATCTAGGATAAAACTCCTTCTACCAAACATCACTTTCTAGAAGACTCTTTAGTTTTCTAACCCTAGGTAATATTCTAGAAGGAATATTCTCCTCCAAATGGAATATTAATTATGGAATAAAATTAATTCCTAAAATCCTAAATATAATTAAATAATAATACATCCCACTAGAGTAATATTATTGCTCTCCCCATTTAGCTCCAACTTAATCAATAAATCAAACCTCCACTTGATTAATAAATATTAATCTAATTGACCTATTACCTCCCCATGTTTAAGATATAACGTACGTCGATTAATTAAATTACTGACAAAATAATTAAACAACCTCTTATTCATTTCCGAAATTAGTACCACTCAGATAAATAATCATTATGTCGGATAATCATCCACCTGCAGGGTTTAACATATTGTTCCTTCCTGAGCTCATTTCGGGGACTTCATCAACCCAACGCACTGGGACACAGTGACTGCAAATAATTTATAACAGCACACTATATAAACTGCAACACCGCGCTTATCAGAGTAAATTTTTTGCAACTTTAACTTTGAAAATGCTTATAAATTTTTCGAAATCATTTGCGCATAACTCGGGATGCTGCTAAAACTTTTCTACTTTAAAAATCTGTTTTCTTTAAACTGGGTCTAACGACTGGTTTAGACATAACGAAAAATAGATTTAAAATACTTAATCGAGCAAGCATGTAAAACTGGACCCCGTTCGTACTGACAAACCGAGTAAAATCTTTAAGCCTGAAAATACTGACATGCAAGTTCTAAACTGAAAAACGTAGCAGAAGTCTGAAAATGCGTGGCATAGTTATACAGACAAAAAGGTAAACAAATGTCCACAAATGGCGACTGGGCCAAGTCTGTAATGCCCCAAATCAGTAATAATATTCAAAATTGTTTCACTGCTCGACTATAAGTGAAATCCGTAATTTCCAGAAATTCCCGAGTTATTATTTATGCTAAATGCTCAAATATGATAAATTATTCTGTAGAATAATTCTATCTCAAGTATAAGTCAAGATCAATCCACTAATTTGGGTTGTTAAATTGTAGCAAGTCGATTCAAGAAATTATTGACTTCGAACCCTAGTTCGGTTTCGAGTTAATTTCTAAAAAATCCCGAGCCTAGCCAAGTATTGGTATTTTTATACTTAGAATAATTTTCTAAGTGTGTGAGAATACCAAAGTATAAGCCTTGATCATTTTAGAATCGAGCCTTAGCCATATACCGAGCCCCGCGCCCGAGGTCCGTGAGCATGGTCTTGCGCGCCCACTCCGAGCCTAGGCTCACCCGAGCCTAGGCTCACCCGAGCCTAGGCTCACCCGAGCCTTGTCCAAAACTTGGTCCAAGCTTTAACCAATGTTTGGGAATTTTTCTAAGTCCAAAATCCACCTAAGGACCAGCACTTCTTTCACCCCAAGTCATTTCCCGCGCGCAGCCCAGCAGACCCCGCGCCCAGGCCCTCTCGCGCCAGGCCCCTCGTGCCA